TTCAGGCCCATAGTGTCCAGCAGACATTTCCATGAAGCAGGAAATTTCAAAGACAGTTCAGTCACTATCTGCTGTGTCCTGCAGAATGTCTCGCAGATTCTTTCATGAGTCATGAACCCCAAAAGACCGTCTCACCTTTAGGCAAGTTCAGCAGTCCTCTCTCTGTGGGTTCTCTGTGTCCATTTTATGCAACAGTCCAGGCAAGAGCAGTTTCTTGCCCAAATGGCTATCCAACTCCATAAGGATCCTCTTCGATGCCCATCTTCCTCTCGAAGTAGATTGGTGCCACCAGGAGCAGATATGTCTCATTGTCATGAAAAGTTCTAAGTTATTAAAACATTAAATGCCATATTCTGCAGTCTTTGAAAGATATGAAGAATGTCTATCTAACTGAAATGTATCTCTATATATCTAGAAAATCTAACTAACATGACTACAAGCTTGACTATTATTGATGATTAACCATTAACCTATATTTCTTAATTATACATTACATTTTTAAATGAACTACACAATCACAATACCTTAATCAAGATCAGAAATACATATACATATAACAAAATTGCCTGTAAAATCCACACCAATGCAAATTACTCATACCTATATCATTTCCCCCTTTAAATGTAAAAGAACATTTACAAACAATATTTTGGGAACATGGGCGCAGTTTTTTTTCTCCAAACTGCTTCCTGCTGAATGGGGGCGCTGTTAATCAGATCATTTAGGGTGTAACCTGTGTGTCAGGTTTATCTCAGTTGGCAGTTGAGTGAAGTAATTTTGTGAAGATGTTCACAGCAACTTTTCGGGAGGTCGTGGTCTATCATACCAAATTGTAATAGAAGAAATCCACAGGGTTTGGTCCTCTGTGAAAACAAAAGAAGACCCTCTCCAAAGCATCATATTCTTAAACCCAAATTTTGAAATCGTAATACCCTTATATCCATTCTGGTTTAGCTTAGCAGCCCATGTAATGAAATGTCTCTCTGTACTTAGCTCCTTTACAGTCAAAAATTTTAAAGAAAGCACAATGTACATAATCCAGACTCTTTGTGAATTTTCCATTTTTACGTGGCTTATTTTTGTTTATTTCTTTTAATCTCTTAACTATCTGTACTCTGTCTCTTTAAAGACTTTACCATTTTTTTTAAACCATTAACTTTATTTTTTATATTTTTTTTCTTCTCTCTCTGAAGCCTACGTACATTCATCCAACAGTGTGGTATTTTATGTATGAATCTGTTTTATTGTGAATCTCTAACATTTTTTTACTATCCAGGAGCATTTCTTAAAATGTTAAGCAGTTCTTAAAAACTTAAGTTGCACCATGTACAGGTAATACGGTACCGCCTGTGTCCTGCCCAGTTGAAACCCTAAATGCGCTGTTTTTATGGTAATTACGGTAGTCTCTGCCTGAGACCAACACAGTTCAGCATGGCAGAGCTGAGCCAAGCCGCTCCTGCCTCAGAGCCATTTGGTGTCCCTGAGCCACACACAGTTCCAGGCACACAGCAGTCCACATTGCCATTAAGCAAGCCGTAGAGCTTTACTCCAAATGTTCCATTTAAAAGCTCTGTCTCCCACAGGAGCCAGACAGAGATCGCAATGGCGGCACAGCCCAGAAAGCCGGCATTTTAAAACAGCCAGTTTTTTCCTGCTGTTGAGTCAGGACAATTTCTTTGCGGCACGCAACCCACAAACAGCAAAAAGCTGTCTTAAATTCTCTTTCTCTCCTTTTTAAGCCCTCTCAGGTTTTACGTGGAGTTCATTAGCACGTTGGGAGCCACTCTGTTGAAGTACGGATCGGCGGGCTGTGTCCCGCCACCCGGCTAGCTTTACCCGAAATAATTACACGGAAACTGTATTCTTTTAAACACTGCCTGACCCATTAGTTTCAGTTTCTTATTGGCTAGCTCTTACATATTGATCTAACCCATTTCTATTAATCTGTGTAGCCCACGAGCTGGCTTACCAGGAAAGATCTTAACCTGCGTCTGTTTGGAGTGGGAGAACCATGGCGACTCCTTGAATCAGCTTCTTTCTCCCAGCATTCCGTTCTGTTTACTCCGCCTACCTAAGGGTTGGCCTATCAAATGGGTCTAGGCAGTTTCTTTATTAATAAGAAATCACTCCCACATCAAGGACTTTGAAATTTTTTCATTTTTTTTTATGGGCAAAAGTTGTGTGTGTGTGTGTGTGTGTGTGTGTGTGTGTTTTACCCAGCATAAAATTATCTGAATTCTGGTAAATGTTTTGTTGTTTTCAAATACCAACCCAAATCTCCGTGTCTGCTGGCTAAGTGGAAGCCCAGTGACCTCAATAGCTTAGGTGTGATTGCTTTCATCTGTCTCAGATACACCTGTCTTATTGTCTGTTGCTCCACTGGAACTGTTGAACCCTGCCTACCACACACAGAGCCCTCAAAGTTCCAGAGAAACAGCAGACACTGATAACGTAATATCTAGATGAAGCTGAAAGAGTGATGAGCAAGGAGAGAGCCTCCTTGACCTTCTCCGCTTCCTGGTCCCTAGTGTCCAGGTCGCCTTATAGTGCAGAGTCCTCCTAAGGCCACTGTTACATACAGTGTATGGAGAACAAAGTTTGATTGACCCCTTTATTGCTTCTTGCACGTCAAAGCAGGGAGCAGATACCCTCACCTAGATGTGTTAGAAAGCTCCAGAGGACTTCTGGGGGCTAGGGATGGTGCTGACACCTCTAGTGGGAAAAGCTGATAGGCAGGTAGGTCACAGTGGTGCAGGAAGAATCAGGCATCATAGGACCAAACCTTCCAACCCTTCCCTTTTAGGCTAGGGACATATTAAGTCCCATTACCCGACAGAGAGCCTGTGATGTTTATTCGGCTCCTTTTGAGCATTTACTATGCGGTGCTGATGGTAGCTAGCAATATTGAGGACAGGGAAGCAAAATGTGGGACTTGGCACTTTTCCTCAAAGTGTTCCACTCACGTCAGAGAAGAGAAGTGCTCTTCTGAGGTAGACTTGAAGAAAGAATCGCATTAATACCTGTCTGGTTGTGTGGTAAAGATGATCCAGGCTGCAAGAAAACAGAAGTGTTCATGAAGTCCCTCTGAAAGGGGGAGGGCATCATATTCAAGACTGAACAGAAAGACACTGGTTTTGTTTGTTGGTTGGTTGGTTGGTTTGGTTTGATTTTGGGACAGGAGCTCAATGTATGTAGCACAGGCTGACCTCAAACTCATGGAAATCTGTGTGCTTCTTCCCCAGTTACTGGAACTAAAGGCAGATGCCACAGCACAGCCACTGTGCCTGGCCAGAAAGACTGTTACAACTACAACATTGCTATCAAGCACAGATTGCAACAAATAAGACATAAACTCCTGTTTGCCTTTAATTCCAACAGTCAGAAGGCTGTGTGTGAGGGTGGGGTGCAGTGTGTTTTTGTGAGTTGGAGGTTAGCCTGATGTACGTAGTGAGTTCCAGGGCAACCTGGGCTACATAGTAAGACCTTGTATAACATATTTAAAAAATGTACTCTTAAGATGCTTTCATGGATACAGTAATCTATCTATAATGGCATCTATCTATCAGTTAGTAAGGCAAAAATGCGTGATGGATACCATTGTTATTACTACATTAAAATGCTAAAATTAAACTAGCAGAGCGAATTCCAGATCAGCCTTCTTTAGACTTCCAGGTTTAGAATTCACAGCATTACACACAAGAGCTAAGTTTCCACCTTGCCCTGGAAACATCTGCAGGTTCAGCTTCACCAGATCAGCGTTCTTGCCTAAGGCAGACCCCCACCAGGGGCTGAGTGGCAGATGGCCGCTGCGGTTTTCCGTGGTCCTCGTCAGTCACCTTTCCTCTCTCTCCCAGCTTGTGTCCATAGTTCATGTTCACTCTCCGGCTTATGTTGACATTTGAATTTGTGATTCCGGGTGAGGGCCAATCCTTTCCAAACGCAGCCAGACCTTTCGCGGAACTCTTTTCTGCCTGAACAAGTTGACATGGCAGCTCAGCTCTCCAGGTGACCCGTGCTAGAACCGGACACTCTTAGTTTCTTGCTGCCAAGCTTTTTCCTATGCTGAGCTGCAATCTGTTTTTTATAACTCGGAATCTCCCCGGCCTCTGTCTCTTAAAGGTGCCTTTTCCTTTGTGCTCTACATCTTCAAACGCACTTGCGAGAGGACGGTAAGAAGCGGTATAACGACAGCAGAGCCCCCTGCTTTGACCCTGGCCATTCCTTCTGCTCTATAGCATTTTCCTTTCTTCAGTTCTTTAGATTTATTAAATTAAACTCTTCATTTGGAGTCAATTGCAAATTCATATTCAGTTGTAATAAATACTAGAGAACAGCCTTGTGTCTTCCTTATTCAATTTAATCTTTGGTAAAATCATTGAAAACTCTAGAGAATCATATGAAAACCGGGATAATGACATCAACACTCTCATGACACTGAACATATGAAAACCAGGATAATGACATCAACACTCTCATGACACTGAACCTTCTTGTCAACAAAGAAATCCTCTTTAAAATCACACAGGCCCTGAATCCTAGACTACCCTCCCCCCTTGTCAATCTCTAGCATGTCTTCTGCTTGTGATTTCATGAATGTCCTTCTCCACTCAACATGAATGTCTGGCCTTTGCTGTTGAGTGTGCCAGAAGACCCGTCCTTTTTATGGCTGAGTATTATCCATGACACCAATAAATATGTATGTTTGAGTCCCTCCCATTGAACCACATGTGGACTTTTCAACACTTCTCTTATATAAGCGATAAAGTTGATACCAACCTTGTATATAGCTTTCTTTTTTTTTTTTATTTCAAAGCAAAACAAAAAGTTACTTTCCCCAACTTTATTAAAGAAAAAAAAAAAGCAATGGTGGTAAATCTCTAGAACATGGCCAATTTCCTGGGATTCCTCCCTCGAAAATGTGACATTTGATTTCCAAACACATGCTGATGCACATGGTTCCCATTGCACTAGGCAGGCGAGAAGCTGAAATCCTGATGTGCTCATCTTCCGACTTTCCCCAGTCTGTGGTCTGTCTTTGGGTCAGCAATGATTGCCTGAACAGCTACTATGGCTTCGTTAATTTTCGTCTGTAGCTCTCTGAGCTCTTCTATGTGCAGCAGTCGCAAGATCTGAGCAGCTTCGTTCAGAACTGCATCTCCTGTGTCAAAGCCAAGAATATGTTTGTCTAAAGCAACAGGTAAGCCCTCTTTCGTTTGATTTGCTTTAGCAACTGCATCCTGTGTTAGACGCTCCTGAACCAAAATGCGAATTGTCTTAAGCATTACCAAGTAATCATCATGACGCTGAATCTGAAGGAGGTTAGCCAGAGCCATGACACCAGCCTTAAAATCAGGATTATTTACGTCCAGGTTGATCAATGGCTCTGCATTTTTAGCTGTGTTGTCAGTATTTTTCCTGTTATCGGGTACTAAGTCCTTGTATTTTTCAGCATTATCTCCATATTCAAGTCTAACAGCTAAACCAAGAAGCCAGTCAATTGCTTCCTGTCGCTCCTGAATCTTGAAAGGACAGTTAACATCTTTGAGATACTTTTCGAAGAACTTGGGCCAGTCACTGCTGTGGATATTTCTCAGGTTACCTCTGTCTTCAATCTTGTAGTGTCTAATTTTCTGGTCTTCAAGCCAAACAATGAAGTTTCTAAATTCTGTTTCATCTTTGCAGTTGAAGCCTGCAGGGTTGTGGTAGTCCAGGGCCGTGAGCTTGCGTCGGAACATGGTCGCCGGTGCTCGTGCTGGCCGCCCGGGCCTCTGTCTTTTTGTCTTATTGACTGTGTCCTTTGTTTTACAGAAGCTTCTCAGTCTCAAGAGGTCCCACTTATTTATTATTGCTCTCAGTGTCTGTGCTACTGGTGTTATATTTAGGAAGTGCTCTCCTGTGCCCATGCAGTGAAGACTACTGCGCAATTTCTTTTTTATCAGGTTCAACATTGACATTTTGAACTTTGCATGAAAATGCATAGAATTAGAAAACACTATCCTGAATGAGGTAACCCAGACCCAAAAAGATGAGTATGGTATGTACTCATTCATACGTGGATACTAGCTATAAACAAAGGATATTGAGCCTATAGTTCATGATCCTAGAGAAGCTAAGTAATAAGGTGAACCACAAACAAGATCATTTGACAAAATTGGGATAATGGGGGTGGGGGGAGAAAGGAGGGTGGAAGGGGAAGAGGAGGGGAAAGAGGGAGTGAGGAGAACTTGAGGGGATGGGATAGTTGAGAAGGAGGAAGGACAAAGATGAGAATAAGGAAAGAGATATCTTGATTGAGTGAGCCATTGTAGGGTTAGCAAGAAACCTGGCTCTAGAGAAATTACCAGGAATCCACAAGGATGACCCCAGCTAAGATCCTAAGCAATAGAGGAGAGGGGGCCCGATCTTGACTTGCCTTGTAGTCAGACTAATTATTGTCTTAAATATCATCATAGAACCTTCATCCAGCAACTGATGGAAACAAAGGCAGAGACCCGCATCAGAGCACTGGACTGAGCTCCCAAAGTCCAGTTGAAGAGTGGGAGGAGTGAGAATATGAGCAAAGAGGTCAAGACCATGATGGGTTCATCCACTGAAGCAGTCTACATGAGCTAGTAGGAGCTCACCAGCTCCAGCTGGATTGGGAAAAGGAAGGAACAAGCATAGGACCACACTAGTCCCTCTGAATGTGTTGACAGTTGCATGGCTGAAGCAGACTGAGGGGCCACTGACAGTGGCACCAGGATTTATCCCTACTACATGTACTGGCTTTTTTGAAATCTATTCTCTTTGGATGATACTTTGCTCAGCCTAGATATAATAGGGAGGGCCTTAGACCTTCCCCAAAAGCAATGTGTCTTACCTCTCTGAGGATTGGATGGTGGGAAGGTTAGGTGGAGGGAATGGGAACTTAGATTGGTTATGTATAATGAAAAATGATAGTTTGTTTTCTTTTTAAAAAATAAATAAGGGGAAAAACTACAAAATAAAAAAAAGAAAGAATTTTCCTTTCTTCCCAGCGCTTGCTCCTTCCCAGTCCAGCTGGAGCTGGTGAGCTCGTACTAGCATGAAATAACTGATATTTGGTTATGGCATAAAATGAATTTGGAATTTAGTTGAATTATATTGATAAAGTGTTAAAGATTTTTGTTATGCATGTTTGAGATACATGGGTTTGTGGGCTCTTAATTTTTGCTGCTGTCCTGTTTCTTTCTTCTAATTTTACTATCATAGCCTCACAAAATGAATTTCTCTTCTGTATCCTGAGAAAGATTTGGAGAATTGGTGTTAATTTTTTGCAAACATTTGACAGAAACCTCTCGTGAAATCATGTGGGCCTAGAAATGTTTTAAGGATTATTTTATTCTTATTTTTAGTCATGTGTATCTGTGTGTCTGTGTGTGGGTACATACAGGTAAATTCAGTTACCTGTGGTGGTCAGAAGAGGGCACTGGATGCTCTGGAGGTGGAAGTACAGGTGAGGTGAGGACCATGGCAAGGATGCTGGGAACCAAACTTGGGTCTTCAGAGAGAGCAGAGCACATTCCTACCACTGAATCACCTCTCTAGCCCAGTGGATATTTCTTTGGGGCAGGGGGCTTTTAAAATTATTAATTGGATTCACTTAACGTTGTAAAGGTATTTCTACTATCTGCTTCATACTGAATAAATTATAAAAGGTGGTATTTTTCAAGAAATCCATACTAAATCATAGGTGTCCTTAGTATACTGTTATTAGCACTTTCCTGTCTTCACAATATATAGTGGTATCCTTTGTTTCATGCCTGGTAACAGCTGAGCAAGCCACAAGAAGCCAGTCAGTAAGCAGCACCCCTTCATGACCTCTGTATCAGTTCCAGCCTCCATGTTCCCGCCTGACTTCCCTACATGATAACTACAAGCTAGAAGATGAAATAAACTTTTTCTTCCCTCAAGTTGTGTTTGGTCATGGTATTTTATCACAGTAATAAATTCCTTAAGTAATACACATACTAAAATGTAAGGGAGGTAATCTTACATAGTGTTTCACCTCTAAACAAGGAATTATAGGCCACTCAGGGCTGCTGAGTGTGGGAAAAATATTCTTCCCCAGGGATGAACCTCTTAATCGGTTATCCAACACCAACTGGTCAGCTATGAAATCATATACCTACAAGAGACACCAAATGGATTGAACACATTTATTTATGTATTTATACATTTACATATCTGTAATAATCATAAAAAAGGAGAGGCCATGAATTTGAGAGGGGGTGGGGGTAGTTGTGGTAATCAGAAGAGGGGTTGGAGGGATGAAAGGAATGGGGAAAATGGTGTAATCATATTTTAATTTAAAAAAATCCCATGAAACTTGTTGAATTAAATATGCCTGGAATTTAGTAACTTGGTTTCAGAAACATGTTATCTTTCTCCTATTCAAAACAAATTAAGTGAAAAAGAAAATGCTATCTAAAACTTTTGTCTTATTTCTTAGTCGGTCAGAAAGAAAACATTTAGGACTTTTCTAGTCGGCCAGCTTCTTTCACATCAACTGGTGTGAAAAGAGGTAAGATGAGGCCCCAAGAACTCACTACCATGTCATTGTTAGGAACCTGAGGTATTCTCTGACTGGTCAGTGTTCTTTTAAACTTTCATAATCTTCTTAAAACTTTTAAAATACTTATAATTTCCATGGTGTTTAGTTGTACTTAATCAGGGGGAAGAGGGAAATTTATGTCTACTTCATGTTCTTGGCAGAAATTTATGCTCTACTTTTGATAGCAAAAACATGTTGCATTACCTAATCTTCATCTGTGCTATAGAGAAGACTCAGAAATCCACAACAGATGGACCATATACATGGTTACATTTTCATCTAACCTGACAATACCATTTCAGAGCTATGTCCAATTCAGGCTGAGGAAGTCATGGTTTGGGTTTCCACTCATGTTTATTCATGTGAGTTATGAACCAGGTCCTAAGTTTGAGGTTATAGTATTGCAAAACTGAAAACCATATCTGTCCTTCTACCTTTCCCACATTATTTGGAATTAGTCTCTCATTCTTTATGAGCCTATGACTGGAAAAAAATTCATATGAACACCCTCTTACCCAATTTAGCCTTCTCAGGTGGACCATTTCTTTTTGTTTTTTTTTTGGACCATCTCTTTTATTCATAGAGCACAGATGTGTCTAGAAGTTCAAGCCTTCTGAGATCTGCAAAGAACAATATTATCAGATCTGCAATGTCACATTGTCTGGAGCCAGAGAGAGAGAGAGAGAGAGAGAGAGAGAGAGAGAGAGAGAAAGACTTGTCAAGCTTCAGTTTGCTAAGCCTGAAGAGTCCAGGGTCTTTCTGGAGGTATCATCTGTTGTGTGCAGGTGAAAGGCTGGAACACTGGCAAGGGGGAGGATGAGTGTCTCACTCTGGAGCAATTGTGCATTGTGTTCTGTAGATGGTGCATCATAGGTGCTGTCTCCTATCTATGGCTTTCTACTTCCTAGTCTCACCATCTTTTAATAACTCCAGTTCTCGAAGCAATCGTCTCTGGGATAACAGGCGTGCACGTCCATGCCTATCTTCAGGTGTGCAGTCAAGGAAAGTCCCGTCTTCTGGCAATGTGTTAATTGGGTGATATAAGGTGGGAGGTGTGAAAGAGACCTTCTGGGGAGCCCAGGAACCTTATGTTCACCAATACAGCATTCTAAATTTTAACATCCCCGTGACACCCACATCTTATATCCTAATGGATTTTGCTGCCAACAGGAATAAGGAGAAATGAGTAATGTCAGAAGCTCAGCGGAGACAGATACATTCTGAAGATTGCTGGGCATGATGCAGTGTGCCTGTGCTCTTACAGGAGGTCAGATGACAGAGAAACAGCCCATTTTAATCAGGTAGAGCTTGTCATTTTTATCTCCATAGAGGTGTCATGTCCCATAGAGTAGGTGTGAATAATTATATCAAGTGAAAGTACTTTAAAATACAAAATCAAATTCAGTTCCCTAGCTTCCTGTGGCATGTTTTATGTGCTCAAGAGTTCTGTGTGAATAGGCCCCTACAATGGTCAGAGATTAACCATTTAACTTTGGCAGGAATTCTTACCCCTTCTTCTCATGCAGGCGTTTGCTGTGCTCAGATATAACAGAATCTATTATATCGTTTTCCTTTTTGACCCAGGACAGCTCCCCTTTACCCCTCTATCCTTTTGCATCTGCTCTTCTGCCAGCCTTTGTTCTGAAGAATTGGCCTTAACTCTTGCTAAAGAATAGACCTTTGCCAACTACTTTTGGCTTTGTAATTCTTATTTCACAGTGATCTCAGTCTGCTCACACCTAGGCTAGGACACTTAGTGCCCTATTTGTTCCTTGTGCTTAGCTGGGTCTTTTCCTCCTGACTCAAGGCAGGACTCCCTAGAATTTTAGTCTGTAAGATGCCTTGTTTTGGACACCACGTTCCCGATTCACTTGTCCTTATGATATTGACTTCACAACTCTCTGTCTGAAATTCAGGGCAATGATGCTCCGTTAGTATTCTACAACTGAGCTGAACTTTTAGAGTTATTTTATTGAAACTGCACTTAAAGCTAAGGAAGCAATACTTTATATAATTTCAAGAGTAAAACTGAAAGTGAGTCCCACACCACTGGCTCCTGAAGAATGCTATGAGACAAACTCCAGAGGGCAAAATCTGTAGAACTTTGCTTCCTCTCCTAGAGCATTAATGAATGCAACTTGAGAAGTATTAGATACTCCCCTACCACCAGCAACATTTCCACCCACAGAAACA